GTCTGCTCCGTGACGGCGACGCTTCCACTGACACGATCCACACGCTGACCCAAGGTCACTGCGCACTGAAAGTTGTCATTTATCGCGTAATGACTTATGGCAGACATGTCTACACATTCATCATTGTTAGGCCTGACTAGTGCAATATGACATTCGTCAAAAATATCGGAATGTGTTCAAGCTGACTTTCTTGTTCGGGATATTTATGACTGGTATCATACAGCCATGTTTAACTATGTTAGGTTTTATGGGAGATAAATCGTCTTCGAGGCGCCATCTTGCAATGTGTGCAATTAATCCAATCTTATGCAACGTGGGTGGACGCCATCTTGAAGTGACGAATTCCCTGAACTTCCCCATCGTAAAGGGCAGCCCCGCCCATAGCAAGTCGATTTCCTACCTCCAACCAACATCATACAACAAGCTGACGTGTCAATACATAATCGTTTAGTGGGGAGGTGTCTGTGTCGTGTTTCCAGACACTTGCATGGGTGTAACCTGGGTTTGCAGCACTACCTAAATTCTCAGTTAAGGTAGCAGTTCGTCTGCACGCTAACACATTTCCGCAAGAGGGCTCCATGGGGGGTTTGTGGTCACTTCATTTTAAAACTATATTTCCTCTTCAGAAACAACAAGTTGTTTGAAGTTCTTAAATACAATCGCAGAATGTTCCATGTTATGTTGATGGCATGTTGAAGGCATGTTGGGTAACGTCAGCGTTTTTGGCACGTGGCAGGCTTGCGCCTAGCAAGCTACACGGCATCATTTTCCCGACGGCTGTTTGACGTCAGCTCAATTCGTGCCGTAGTCGAGTCTTACACTGGTGACGCTACGAATTACTTATAATTGAATAACGACTTTTCCGCGCCAGACTGCGGTTTACCCATCAGAGTGAAGCAATTAAGTCAATCGAACAACCGCTGAGAAAACAAACATCCATTAAAAGGGTGTTTAAGGGCCGATCAATTAGCTTTCTTGGCATTCACTCAAGACCAGAATCGATCGTCTACAAGCTGATGTCATGCAAGGATACATGACAAGTGATTAGATGTTTCTACTGTCTCAGCCACCTACGTCTTAAGGCGCCTGGAAATAGTCATCGATTAACTTCAAGTACGACCTCGTGGGATTGTCAGCCCGTTAGACGTGAGAAGGATGTCTAACTGTCATCCACATCCATTACTACGACTTTATAGAAGCCTGAAATGTACTGTTAGAAGAAGTACCGACAAGAAATACGACACGATAACTGCAGGAGTTGGTATGTGAAGCCTCAAAACTATAACTGAATACCAAACACTGGAATTCATGACTTCACGAGTTTTCATTTTTTTGAAAAGTTTCGCTGAATTATTCGTCGGGTTTTATTTTCCTCTTTAATACTTGACATGTTTTGACAGTGACGATTATCTGCCAGTATTTGGTTAACCTTTTTTTTCCCCAGTTGAAAAGTTTGTCTTCTGATAGGTCACAAGATTCTTGCGTCTGAGTTTGATCGATTGGTTTAGATTGACGTTGATGTAGGGAATTAACAACCGTCCTTTTCTTCTCTATATGGACAGAATGGGGCACATGTTTTGAAGTAAGAAGATAAGCATGCAATTTGGGATTGTGTTTAAAAGATTTCGATAATTTTAAAGAAGGTAGAAGAATCCGACTAACCAAACCCAGAGTCCATACATCTGGGATTGTGATTGCGAAAGCTCATCGACCGTGTTATGACAGCAAGAATGAATGACGGGCAGATGTAAAAGCATTTCCCCGGTCCCGGAAGTTAAAGCTTCTCCGTTGGTGAACAGTCGCGCCACAATCAGCTGATTTATCGCACTTCCAGCTGAGAAGAAGAGGGGTACAGCGCCGATTGAAATCAGTGTGTAGATTATCTACCCAAGTGTAAATTTGTAGGTATGGATTGTATTGCCATTACCATTGCTGAGCAGTTACTAACTACTGTGCTGCGTGGTTCGTCTGAGCATGGACCTATACCTCCATGAAGGGAGACAGAGTTAAGACTCCCTACTCTGCCAATAATTAGTAAAGTGCAAGATGTGTCAGTGCTGCATGCCATCGCCAGGTCTGGTAACACTTCCACAAAAGCTTCCTAGGGCGATCTCTTCGCATGTAGACTGGCCTCCTGTCAATTTGGTCACTGACCTTGCACTCAGCTCATATGCGGCGTAGGAACAATTTGTGGTTGTACATGAATGTAACTTGTAGTCTTAAATGACTGAATGGAATTAATGAATAGTCTTGGTCCTACTTCGAATTGTTTCTCAAGTGTCAACCACTTTCACTTTCATGTGTTTCTTTTAATATGCATTCATAAATACCTAAGACAGTTTAGCCATTCCTATTGGTCGAGAGCCCGTCACGTGGCCGGTATTAAACGGATGATAAAGACATGGCTAGCTGGTCTTAAACACTTTTCCAGTGTCACAATAAAATGTGGACTCCTAAAAATCCAGTGCCTCTTATCGTTTAATTGGTTGAACGTTCACAATCCTCACGTAGGCATGCGCAACACTACCAGGGAGTTAGAATTTTATAGTTCTAAATTCAAAACGCAACGCGCCAGGTGCGTTCTGCGCGACATCGCATAGAACATGATACGCGCGCGTCAATCTCCATAAAAGGGTTGTTTTCATCTTACTCGCCAGCTGAACACTCCATTATTTTGCAGGAGGGATGATTCAAAAAGCATAAAGTGAATTTGTTGAACAAAATCGGGATGTTTTGAACGAATTATACGATTTTTTTTTACCGAAAAGGTATTTATGAATGGGAATAAATATGTACTCCGTCGGTATTTATCACTCTGTTTAATACCACTTAGAGTCTGGGTGCTGATAATTACCCTCGCCTCCGGCTCGGGTAATTATCAGCACCCAGACTCTAAGTGGTATTAAACAGAGTGATAAAAACCTCTGGAGCACACATTTATTCCCTTAGTATTAGTTTGGTTGCATAATATAAATTTCTTTCAATAGTGATCCTCATGCAAGATGAAATGCAAACAAGCGACGTTATACCTCCCTCCCTGGCTGGTGATTGAGTAAGAGCTGTTCAATCAAGTGCACAAACGCTGCCGTGCCGGCACAAATTGCTTGATCAGGATTGTATTTATTTATTTATTTATTTATACACAGGCAGATAATTTTGGAATGTTTGGCCCACGCATCAAAGTTTCCCTTTATTTCCCTTTCACCTGGTGCCCGGCTTCCTGACACCAGCGGACTTGTCACTCTTGGATATTACTCGGCGAATGGACTGTGTACTCTAACAGTTTATGACAACTCAACGATGTGATTACATGCATACACAGGGGTCTTTAATTACTTGTACAAGATCAACATGGCCTGTCCTTAATCAAGAGTGGCAGTTTCGATCTTGCCCTTGTCAAACACGTCAAGACTTTGATTGGTCCATGTCGTCCCTGACACTGATTTGATTGGTTGGGACTGTCACAGTCGGTCGGACGTGACCAGTTTAGAATAGTTGATCATGTCTCTTGATTATGAACTGTCGATAGATGGCGCGCATATCAGAATGGTAAATAAACACAAACGATGTTGCATTGATTGGTAAAAACAAACTGCACAATGGTATTTATTTCATACTTGGTAAAACATTCGGTGTGATCCGTGCACCTGTTTTCTGTATGATGACGAGGGCATCAGAGAACATTTTGCCTTCGGATAAACAAGCCACAGTGATTGGTACTATAGGGATGCTTTCGCCCAAACTGCCTTTTTATGTTTCGTTTCGTTTAGTCTTTGCTATTACGCGAGTTATTTTAATTTCTGCCGCAGTTAAAACTTTAAAGGTACAAGGCAGTGGTGGCCATTACACTGCGTCTGTCGGACGTTGTGACGTCAGGGACAATGGACAGAGGCCAGCATCAAAACATAAAGTGACTGATTGTTTTTAGTACTTTTGATATGCAGTGTGATCTGTAGGCAGATCATCGCAATTTATCAATCACCCTTTCTCGCTCTGACAATTATTGCGTCTGCCTTGCAGATTCCAGTCCAAACCCCCTTGTCTAAAACAATAAACACTGTCTCGTGCCACCACTAGGCCCCACGGGGCACCCACGACGGGGCGCGACACCGGCACGAGGCGGTTTCATCATCACCGGTCCAGTCCCCCTGAAATCGAAAGTACGAATTATCCCAAGTTCTGTGCCGATTACAAGAGAGCGTAGACCCTTCGAATGTCGTCACGTGCGTTTAGAGGAAGACTTCTACATGTTGTGTACTTTTGCGCGCGATTTGTTTGTCCCCTTGAGCTGTATATCACTCACAGTGCGCTCTTTACTAGATTGGCGGATTGCCAATATTGAGAGGAAATCTTGTCGAGGAGATACGGTGTCCTGTCGGCACCATTGTTTCCTTTTTAGGAGGGCATTCGTCAACCGCTAGGGTGATAGATTGATCTTCGTGTTCCCTGGAGTTGACGCGTGATGTCAGTCACTTTTATTTATTGCCTCCACACCTTAATTCATCACAGAAATAAAGAGCTAGACGTATGGCCGTACTGCACGTTTGTCTGAAGGGATCGCTGCTTGACTTGGACCTCAGGAAAACCCCATGAGGCCTAAAGTCCGTCCTAACGAGATCTTTTTCGTTTGATGTCCATTTGGGCGTATTTATTAATTCATGAGGTGTTCGCACTTTTCACATATCATAATGACGTAATATGAATTCAGAGAAGGGGGTGTCGCTAATAATACCAGATACTTTGCATTCGCCACATGAGGGCCACGGTGGTTTGAAGAATTATATCCAATCATTCATTCAACAGTTTCGTTGGTTTGCAACTCGGATCGGATCACGTACAAAAACAAATGAGTCGACTTTTAAGTAGTGTATCGCGCATATATACGCAAACGCGTATCCCTCCTGTGCGTCGCAACATTGTTCCATGTGGTTCTAATCCAATACGATCGCGCGCTGCATGCATACGCGTTCCGCGTTGTTGTATGTATATGTATGTATCCATTCTCCGTGAAAAAATCCCCTTGATAAAAGTTTCCTAAATCCTTCTTGTCAATTTGATTGTGTCGATGTAATCTTCTTTAAAGCCGATACAAAGGCTACCCTACCATCCGATAATGTGTACAATTATGCACACTCGCCTAAGCAGTATTTTAACACCGGCTTAGGCGCGAATGACTGAAGTAGGTGACGTCGTTTGGTAACGGAGGAAAAACAACCAGGTAGCGGGGATATTTTGACCGGTGAACGCACGGTGGTATCTTTTTCGAAGCATCTAACGCGAGTAGGCCTACGTCCGGAAAGTGATTTTCGACCGACGGTTAGGGACCAACATGCCCGGGAGGCTCCGCTACGTTGGACGGTACATCATCAACGACAGGACCCTGGGAAAAGGCAACTTTGCCGTGGTGGAGCTCGCCACTCACAGTATCACAAAAACGAAGGTCGGTATACCAAGCCACGGGTGTTGGAAGTAGCCGCTTCGGTTCAGCACTTTTGCATCACAACACGAGGCCTAAGCTCTAATCTCATACCACGAGGATTTAGACACAATGTTATATGTTTGTTTACCCCCAAGTGGCCTCGTACTGCTGAAAAAGTGTTTGTGTCAATTCAAATCAATTTATTTTACCTCAACCAAGATGGCGCCTACCGGTAGAGAATCGTGCCTCTTAGTTTTTGTATAATATTTCGAACAATTGCAGTACCTTTTGAAAAAAAAATAACCTCTTCGGTATAACAAATGCATGCAAATTGCCGTGAATTATCAAACCCAAAGTTTGCCTCATATAGATTACCAATATGCTGCTGTACGATAAAGTACATCTTTTGTACAATCTCAAGAACATTCAAGCAAAAAAAAAAGTTCCCCATCAGTGATCCTTCAAATCGTACCTCACGGGACAATTTATGTCGAGTTAGATGACGCTCACAAAAACAAACAGGAGCAACAAAAACACATTAACAAGACGCTATCGACAGTGACTTTCTATGGACCACCCAGGGTATTTGACATCATACTTTTTACTTTTTAGCCTGGACCATGCCAACTATAAATATTTTCGAAATCTGTCTCCGCAGCAAATGATACAGGCGTTTACAACATTTCTGGTAATTAACCAAAAAACCCTCTTAGGCTTCATTGTCACTGTAGTCTGCAGAAACCTCTCAAGAGAAGACTGTCAAGAAACTATTTAAGGTTTTGAGAATGAGGGGGAAACTAAACTAAAGCTTCAGAATGTGTGTCAGTTTTCTCTAGAATATTTAATGATTGAACTGAAACGTATAAACTGCCCTTACATATCAAGACAATCTTTCCTTAACTGTAAGGATACAAAAACTCATTAATCTAAGATGAGAAAGAAAGAAGAAAACTTAAGGGCAACTTCGAGATGTCTTGCACTCTAAAGTAAACATGAAACAGCAGCGTAGTCCAAATGTCTGGTCGCGTGTTGGGGAAACACTGAACAGAGGGTGCGTGACCCCGGGGTTAAAACCTTAATTTTTCTCCCACGTGGCAAGATTATAAACTTTCTCGAATACCTTCACTCGGATGTCCCTGAACTACTTATTTCGTGACCATTTAAGGAAATATGGAACACCACTTGAACAATCTGGCAGAAGACAGTTGTACCATTTTCAAACTCGGGTTTGGGGAAAAGGAAAGTGTTATCAGGCCGGACTGGAATTGCAAGATTTGTTGCAAGGCTTTTGAAAATTTAAGCAATTGAAGAGATTTATCGTGTCTGTCCCGGAAGAGTCATTATGTGGTACATGAATGGGGTACTTGGTTATGTTGGACCAAGTCGTGAGTCATCCAAAAGATTTTTTACGCATATTAAAAATTCTGATTGATTTAATAATTGGCTAGTTTGAAATTGGGGCATTCAAATACCTTGGGACTGCATCGCTACTGTTCCACTTCAGTGGGCACCAAGCTTGCTCTAGAATCCCAGCTACTTGGCATCCACATAGGATGCAACTTCACACTTCATCGATTTCGATTTTTTTAGGCACTCTCCTGAAGACGGTCAGAGCATTCTGACCGAAACGTCGAGTTTATACATCTGGTTCTTTTCAGAACCATTCTCTTAGTTGAGAAATTATTCGTACAGGGTTTTTTTCCGCAAACCTTGCATTATTTAGCATCTTCACCATGCAAAGCCTCAAATCTTACTCATTCAAATACCATTAAGATTTGGTCTGTTCATGTAATGAAGATCAACTGGAGGTATATTTATCAAAGACGAAATGGTACACGAAACGTAAAAGGTCTCTCTCAAAAACCCATGTACAAGTAAAAAAAAAGAGATGCACGAACTTGATGCTACTGCAAAACCATACCACGGACAAAATTGCAATCCAACTTCTTAATTTAAGACAGACAATTGAGCTATGGACAGGCAGACAGCAATAAATTGAGGTAACTCAGGTTTTGATATACAGGTACATCTACATATTTGCACTGTAAAGTTTCTTGAGATATGAAAATTGCTATTTTTATGTCCTTGATTGAGAAGTTCGCTGCACTTCCTTTGCTACTCGCTTCAGTGCGATGATCATGCAGGAACCAACCTCAAACTGTTTGCATGTGAGAATTTGGGTTTGAGGAAACGAGGGGCGGGCCACCGCAGAAATGTCTGAGATATAAAAATCCGTGCCACTGTTTCCATGGATATTACACTTCATGGTTTCTCAATTATGTGCCGAGTTGTTCACAACAAGAAAATGGCTTTCGTTGCAGATGTTAAAATACAACGTGGCGTCATTCGATGGTCTCATCCTCTACTCCTCGCAATCAAGAAAACAATTCATTGCACTTTCGTAGGTAGTGCAAAACGCAGATATGATTACAGTCTTGATAACAATTTGGTAGACTCGGTAAACACATTGAAAAGGAATCAGACGCAGTTAGGCTGCACACTTAGGTAGTTTATAAGTGACATTCTATTAAGTAATTTTGCGACACACATGCATTTGATTTCCAGCAGAAAGTAGGCCTACATAGACAATGCGCCGAAAATGTTTTTTGAATGTCATAGTTTTACAGCGGGCCTGTGTCCTAATTTTGACGATAATAAATCGACGGTGGTGGAACCAGACTCCAAAAGGCAGTTTTCCAGCCCTGGATCTAGGGACCGGAGCCCTGTCAGTCCGCTAGTCGGTGCCTTATAAGTAGACATTTTTTTCCGGAGTATTTAATATCCCATCTTTTTTGGTAGCTTGATGATTTCACAATCGAAAGTGAATCGTTCTAACGGGGCCTTGGGTTTTGAAAACGGGTGCTCGGTACATATGGTCGACTCTAAACATCGCAGCTGATTTTACCATGTATGGAGTTGTGGGGACTTTTGTTTATAATCGGAAGTCGACAAGGACAAGGGAGCTTCGGAATTTGTGTAAGAAGGTGTACCGTCTTGACCTCGCGGTCGACCCCGGAGCTATGCGCGGGGGAGGGACACAGGGCAACGGATGGCTCGCTAGATAAGATGTTTTGCACAGACTTTTTTGGGGAAAGCGATTCTTATCTCCAGACACATCCAAGTAAGGAGATTTTAGATTGATTGCCGAGAATCGAGATGATACTTGCATTGGGTGGCATTTTCAATACATGTGTGCAGAATCATATCAAAGCTTTATCGTGGATAGAAATCAGCAAAGGACACAAAACGGAGGCGTGAATTCAAATAGAAAATCAAAAGGAATATGCATCAGGCAAAATTACTTCATTGATTGGATATTGGTCCCGAATAAACTTACACAACATAACATGAACGTCTCGTCCTGCTTTACTTTATTGTCCAAGGTCTGTGGTTTTGACTCTTCAGAAACTATGAGAGAAATACCGATGCATTTTGCAGATTGTTTCCCTGCAGCAAAGCGTCTCTCAGGTTGATTTACATGTCTTATCACACGGGGTGAGAGAGTAACTTATTTAAGATACAAAATAGACGAAAGAACACCAACATGGGCCCGACTTAGGAAAACAAAAACAACCCCATTAAAATGTGGAAACCATCCCTTGAATAGGAGGGGTTGGCGCTTGGCACGTTCAGTATTTTAGAATTAGGTCGTACTTTGATTTTCGCGAAAGTCGTATTTCCTTTCCCATACCCGATCGTGTATAACTAAACTGAAAAGTAAATAAGATATTTAATGATCGAGATGCGATGATACCATGTAGTGATTGACAGGCACGGGGCGTGTCCCCCTTCTCCCGCGTGACCTATGACCTCCGCGCGCATCCATCATCCCTCCTCGGTGTAAACAGTTATTCTTTACGAGGCACGCGAGTACGGGGTGACGTCTTTTTTATTGCACGGGCTTTGACTGTCGGTATGTGAGTGGCACGTGCCATTTGCGCTCTCTGAGGCACGTCGCTCTCACGAACAAAACGGCTGTGCTTCTGCCATAAAGTCAGGCTTTAAAAACGGCAACAAAATGATGTAAAAACCTGCATTTCTCTCAAAAATTCCTGGTCGAAATTTGGATAGAAAGGTTCACGAGGAAGCGGGCATGTAATAACTGAACTTGGTACGTGTTACCAGCTTTCATTTACGTCATCTCTGCCATATACCGTTTATGTAATCATAATGTTTATAAACGTTCCTTTGATCATGCGTCCTGTGTTAGGATCATGTGCGTGTGCATAGACGATAGTCTTGCATTTGGTGTATCGAAAGCTGAGGCTTATGTTTGGTCACCAGGGTGTTTTTGAGATTATGGTTTTGTTTTTAGATCAATGCTACATTGCCTCTGTGTTTATAATCACTCACGCTCGACAAACACGAGCATCCGCTATTAATCGTTCATATTGCCATCAATCTCTGTGTCGTAAACGAAGATTTCAGCTCGTTGGTAACGAGTGACCATACATCAGTGTTAGATTTATGTCGAGAGACAACATCTAAGAAAGAGGAGGCTACCCTAGCCATCCCGTCCACTAATAACAAAATGCATCATAGACGCAGTCTTGTCCGAGTATGATAGTTTTTGTCCGAGTATATAATTGTTCGTGACATGTCATGGAGCGCACACATTATTCATCATTATTGAAGAAGTTTAGACACCTTTTGACAGATTTTTGGGGTGTCGTCATTTTTAATATATACCGCCACCCGTCGATTGGAATGTGGACCCGGTTGGCCCACATTATTACCCACACGTGACTCCCTAACCCTCAATTGCATGCTAATAAAGTAACTTTCTGTTTCGTTTCCCTCCAATCATCCTATCTGTCTCTGTCCTCCCCTCCCTGCCTCAGGTAGCAATCAAAGTGATTGACAGGAGCAAGATCCGTGAGGACTACGTACGGGACAATCTGTACCGCGAGGCCCGTATCTTGGCCCAGCTAAGACACCCTAATGTGGTTCGGCTCTACGAGACTATATCGGTAAGAATATATCATCCCTGATGAACATTCATGACCCGAAAGCCAATTGAAATCCGTTTCTTACAAATTACAATTATTGTTACACTGAGATCATCCTCTCTCTATGCTGAGATGCATTCCTATGTTATCACAATGGTACAGTGAAAAGCAAGATACTCTTCTCTGATTGGACAGGCTGAATTCGCTGACAATACCAAGTAAGCTAGAATTTGAAAACAAAAATCAAGCACGTTTAGGAATTGTGTGTTTGACATGCTGCATAAGTTTATTTAGGAGGTTCGATGTGTCCTGCGATGTATGGGGTTAGGAGAATCTTCGAAAGTTGTCGTAGTGCTGGTTCTTGCTGATCCATACATGTACCATGTTGAGGACAGTTGCTCTCTATATTGGAATATAATGCTTGTATCCCTCATTATACCACACCACCGGGCCTCAATCAGTGCCATTCCTATAATGTCATCCCAATCATTCCTCATCTGGTGCACGTATGCATTGCATCAGATTGTCAATAGCTCCTGGTGTGACAGGTATGTTACCAACCCAACCACCTCCCGGCCCCTCGACTGTCATCCCGTTTTCAACAGCAATGCCTGTCACTTTCTGTTTTGATACATATGCTTACCAGCCATGTCCATAAGCCAACATTTGATTGCATTCTGGTAGCTACGGGTCGCCAAGGGTCACTAGCAACTTGGACGGATCATGCCGCTAGATGGCGTTTCGGCTGTTAAGTTTTATTGTGACCCCAGTGACACGTTTAATAGCAACGAGGATAAAGTTTTAGTAGTAAACGTTGGTAGAACTTGACCCGTGGCAAACTGTCAATTTTGAGGGGACAAGGAAGAGCTCCTTTGGGATGGATATGTGTATATCAACCATCTTTACAATTATTGGTTGGCATACGAGTCATTGTCGTCCATAAACTGGGAACTTCGATGCGCATCGGAAAAGAGTGGGATTTTTTCAACCTTCTTTTTTGGAAATCGGTCAAAAGTGACAATGGTGGAAAAAACAACCTTCGCAGGAAATGTGCTGCCCAGAGATTTGCGTTGCGTCCTCGCCTGTATTTATATGTCTATTACTTCCTCAATTGTCAATTGTCACTCTGCGGATTTCCTTATTCTGTTCATTACACTTTCGTTTCCTCTCAGGTTCCAGAAAGAAACCTTTTTATTCAAGAAGTGTAAACAAGGTATCACGGGAGATAAAATTATACCGGAACTGGTCCTTAGTGTACGCGGACGATAAGTACAAAGCCGTGGCCTCTGACCTTTATGGCGTGACCTTTTGACATTCCCTTGATACCACTTCACAGAAAGCTGCCAATACAGTTAGTTGCGGGCCTCCGCCCTTGAATAACACTTGGAGGATTTATGTTGGATTTTTAGACATCTTTAATATATGTTCACGTAACACAATACAATTGGATTGTTAAACAAAGATCGTCATTCATGTCAACGTAATCCTTGCACAATATGTCGATCAGCCGACGACTTGGGTTGGTTTCAGTGGGATGCTTTAAACACGGGTCATTGCCGCTGAGAAGTGATGTAGTTTTTTAAAAGTTGCACCAAAACAAAGTACCCAAAAAGCTATGGTTAACCAGTATTATGTATTTGGAGTCAACGTTTATCAATAAATCCCGCATTAGTATTTACAACCCCAAGTATACGTCCTGAACATAATTAGGTATCAGCCTATTTGCACCGTGTGTGACCTGTTGGGGCGCTCTACAGTTTTTGGTTACGCAACAGGTCTTGTATCATTTCGCTGGTATTCGTGTCAGCTGCCCAGTCACGGGCATGGTAACATATAGAGCCTTGATGTCTACTGAGTACGTACATGCCATCTCTGACGGGAGTTGTACTAAACTCATCGCAAGGGGGCGCATTGTACATTGTTTATGAAGACGTTAAAACATTAATGTTGGTGCACTTTTTTTTCATATTTTTTAAAGTCTAGTTCCCTGTACTGCCTCGTGACAGAGTATGCTGGCGGAGGAGATCTTCTGTCCTTGGTGCGAGGGCAGCGGGAGGGCCGACTCACCGAAGCCGTGGCTCGTCCGTTCGTCCGTCAACTCGTCTCGGCTTTGCATCATCTACACGAGCGGGGAGTGGTTCATAGGTACGTCATTCTAATTGTTTTATTTGTGATTGTAGACGGGTTAAAACTGTCATCGCCACCCATCACACGAGAGTCATGGAAATTGCTTAATTTTCAGCAAGTACTGTCCAGTTTTCATAGTAAGTTATTTTGAGGTATCTGACGCCGTCATCTTACAAAAATGTCGAACCAAACGCAAAGTATTTCCCACGCGTTTCAATTTTTGTAATCCCTAGGGGAAAGTTTCGATGTTTCGCCCACACGAGCGAACGATCTCTTCTTAAAGACAACAGGTTGTCACGATGCTGGCACTTACGAAAACGCCCCAAGACATATCCAAGTGTTATTTTCAGGGTCCAACAAAAAATAAAACGTCGTGGAATTTTGACCTTTGGTTTAGTGTTACGTCAGGAAATGATATACTGCCAACCACTGAGAACGGTAGAAGATCATTTCCCTGAGAGTGATGTTAAAAAATGTATGTTCACAATAATTTCTAAAACAACAAAAGATGATTTCTTTATGGAAATATGGTTTTGGTGGCAATTTCTCTGCACAGTCATGATACGATTAAGCCAGGGTCTATACAGTCATATTGCAGGCAGGTACCATTTCCACTCCTAGGCCAGTGCACGCGGGCGTGGTATAATAGTCGGTTTCCTGACATGACAACCAAAGGAACCTCAATTTTTGTTTGAAATATAAAAAACCCTGACTCTTTGATTGGACAGGCGACTGCCAAAGCAATTATGTGCCAAGCTGCTGTCGAGTAGAGGCCCGTCACGTCTGATCATATCACTCAACCTGTTCCGCTTGCCTGACTTACCCGTCTGCATGCTAGCCGCTAGGTCGTTTACCTTTCATATTATTGTACACGAGGGAGAGAGGAAAATAATGGAAACGGAATGGCCGTCAGGAAATTGGAAGTATGGAATATTGAATAAGCTTACAAAGCATTCAAAATTAATCTACAATAGGTACCACCACCAGAATGCGTAGGCGAAATGTAATAATCGTTTTCAATATCTGAAAATTCGAAGAGGATGATATTATTATTAAGATAATGTTTTGAAGTCTCGCATGTGCTTGACAACAGCGAGAGTCATGTTGGCTAGATTGAGAGCTGTTAATCAATAAATCAGTGGATAAATTAAGCCTGAATGGATATTTTACGATGCCTCTAAATCATCTGCATCATTCATTCGTTTGCCCATGTGATCGCATTCAGGGCGTCAGACCTCGACCCCCTGCAGTAATAATGTTTTACAAGCCAGTTATGACATCATGGTCTTGTATGTACAGCAGTCCGCATCATAACTGACCGATGATTCACCGGTTGAAGTTCCCTTTTAACGCCCCAAGGGATTTCAGCGTATACCGGTGCGAGAACCCCCAGCAGCCTGAGCAGTCAAGCCGGGTAGAGTTCAGCTCGAGACTCGCTCTCTTCTTTCTTCTTTCCCCGGAGACGTAATTAGTACTGGATTCTCCACACACACATCGAGCCCTTTAGGCGGGTTGTTGGTTTCTAGTCGTCTCGGGCTCCCCGGCGGTGTGGCTCGTTTATTTTCCCGGCGGTGTGTCGGTCTGTCAGCGCGGGGATACCGCTCTGATGACTCATCCGTCGAGATGAAAGTGTTTCCCCACATTTTGAGAGCTAGACTTGTTTCCCAGTCTGTTCAAAAGAAACTGTAGTCAACTCGATAGTCACACAGATTTTACAGAAATCTTGGACCCGTGGACCTTCGTTTGTTGATGAAGTGAGAGTGTAGAAACGGTTGTCACACTTTAAGAACATCAAAACAAAAGGGTAGTTTTTTTAAGGCGATGTGGCTTTACGCTGACTTTTGAAGTTATTGGTATATAGGCCTGTTTATGACTGTTGTATACACCATTGTTGCCAATAATCTATGGATTTGCTTTACCATAGTGCTGCAAGAGTCTTACTGTGCCAAGCCTCGAGAAAAGCTAGGCAAATTGTATTTGACGAAGATACATCATGTGGATGAGCGAGCTTGTTAAGGCGCAACCTTTGTTAAATCTGTCTGCATTAAAGCCTTGACAGGTGTATACAGAGTACATTTATCACAATCTCTGAGTATCCTGCTCACTACTTCATTTAGTGTAATTCAATCAGTCAACATTATCAATATTGTATCTATCAGTTATCGGTACTGTGATACCTCAGAGGAATCAATAACAGGGGTGCGAGTTGACCTCATGACCCTAACGCTGTCCAATGACCGGTCATCACCCTCGTCCACCAACTACTATTATTTATTATACTAAATAATGACCTCCAATTACTTCTTATTTATTGTGTTCTATACCACATACAGTCAGGGGTCAGATCTTACGCCTCACCGATAAAACGAAACCAGTGCACTTCTTGCGCCTCCTTGTACTCCATGTCATTTACCTTTAATTACTGGGTCAAACAAAAAAACGTTGTGGTTTTTTTTTATCGGTCAACAAGTATTTTTCTGTTTTCAAAGTTTGCTCTTTTGAGGTGACCGGATTACTCATAAAGGTATGCCAGGTGGAACCGTAGTGTCGATTGTTGGGACGATTACCCCTCTGTTCACCCCCTTGTGATGGAGAACACCCGAGTGAAAACCCGGGGCAATAGAAGTGCCAGCTTTGGTTACAATTAATCATCGTCATGCTCAGCCCCCGTAAATCAGTCGTTAAGCCGCAGCCCCAAATAATGTCAGGTGTGCTAGTTTTGGAAGAGGGGGGGGGTGTAAGTCGATCAAATATTGGCGTTATCAGGAAGGCGTCGTTGCCCTGTCGTAAAATGATTAGCAAATTGAGTTTGTTGAATTTGTGTTTGAGCAAACTCAATTAAGAAATAAGATAATGTTCGGTTTGTTTGCTCGTGGTTTGATTAGACGTTAGTCTTCAGGTTAAACACTGTTTGTCCACATTTGAGGGAATTTACACCGGTAACAAGTTTACCTGTAGGTCATGTTTGTCCTATCCACACTTGACATTCATGTTGTGGTGTATGTAGTCCCAGTGTCGTGACTTGGAAACTCCTTATAGAAATCGTGCCAGGTTTGATGAGTTGGAACTATTAAAACGTTTCCCACAGTTAAAGAGTTTTTCTTTTCGCACCATTGGGTTTTATTGATGTAATTCGGAGACGAGTTATTCGTATATACGTTGGTGCTGTCTGACTTTGAAAACCTTGGTCTGCAGCTGTGGATTTCAAGTTGTAAGTCTTCTATTTGTCATGATTGTATTCATCCTTAAGTTACTTTTTTTGTATGTGAGTTTTGACAGATTCCATGTAACACCATTAACAACAATATATCAATCACTGTAATGATAACAACCGGTAGTACGTTTGAGTCCCATTCCGTTGATTTATGCAGCTGCTCTTTTCAACGGACTAGTTTTTCATGTTTCTTTTTTCCTGCTAAGGTGGATTCGTCTGTCATGATGGATATTTGTAATCCGGTGCACTCAGTAGCCGATGGCGATAGCCGCTTCACCTGAACATGCACTTTTCGCAGAACAATTCTACCATTCCACTGTGTAGGCCTAGTACTGTTTACTGTGCAAGTTATACAATAAACCAAGTTTAATTTTATCAAGGCTTGTAATCTCGTTACATTGGCAAATACGCTATAAAGGTCCCTTAACTTTGAGTTGTATTTTGAAGCATTTTCTAAGTAAATTTATCTAGCGCATTTTCAGCACGGCCCACTAGTTGGATTCATGCTTCCACTATATAGTTGGTTCATGCCCGCCTTGCTAGACTCTCAGCATCCCAACGTTGGACCATGGAACTAGAGATGTACGACTGTCCTGGGATGACGAACCATTGTGAAATTAAAAGAAACTACCGAGGATTTGGTCCGTACCGTAACCCAGCCTCGGATGTTCAGCTTTGCAGGTGTTACTTTTCCAACTTCGCCCCTAGACTCTAGGGTAAACACAGCCTAGCCCAATATACATAAATGGGCCAATAATCCACCAATGAATCTTTCTGCAGATAAAAGCAAAAAGTTCACCCCACCTTGCTGGCGGGTTCCACAAACATTGGAATTCCTGACCTCTCCCTCGGCCAAGACAGGCTTGTCAGCACCCTGTCTCCACCTCCGAGATATTTTGTCAGGCGTCATGTAATACGGGCCGTCGTCATGGCGACCGAATCCAAGATGGCGGCCGCCGTTGAGGCTGATACACGCAATTATCGAATAGGACAGACCTCATTCACCAAAATTTATACCCGCAACCAGTGGAAGCCTCTGATTTATGCGTGTAACATGCAACGTGTTTTTGACTTGAGACCTGATGTTATCAAACATCTATCAGAGTGACTGTTAAAACTTCTTGTTTAAGTGATCCTGTTGATTTATTTTTTAAGAAGGTCAAGGGAATGCCTGAGAGAAGTATGCAGCTTGCATTGAGTTTGACGAAACTTTTCATGAAGATGAGGCTCTGAAAAAAGTGGCCTCATTTTGAGGTGGCTTTAAATTAAATGACTTATGAATGCGTGTGGAACCAGCTGTAATTTGTCATAGCTAGTTTGAACACCTAACTTCAGCTTTGGCAGTTTATTTAGTCGGGTCAAATGGAAAGGAGTGGGCCAACTTTCCTCCTTTTTCAGTTTTGGTAACTTGGCCATGATGATGCTCGGGTGAAACTGATCCTGTGAAAGTACACGCGGGGCCCGTTAGCTCCTTGCGGGGCGTCACATCATTAATACGCCGTCTTGAGGGCGACACGTCCCGTCCACTTACCCTGAGCCCCCGCCGCTTTGAAACGTAACAGGCGAGGTATAATGTTTGCTGCATTTTCTCAAAAAGGTGTTTCTTAATTTTCTATTTCTCCTTGAAGTTCAGTTCGCGATCTCTCACATTTACATTAGTTGTGTTGTTATTTAATCAGTTAGATTACACTGCCACTTACGACAAACCTGTGACGTTTGTTTTGTGACTTAGGCCTATTAAAAAAGATGAATTTTAGCATTAATAATGTTTGCGAAATATTATTGGTCCGCTATATACTCACTC